AACTACTTCTATATGCATAAGATTAATGTTTCCATAGTTGTCACTAGTAATGCATAAAATTTTTATTCTAAGAGTGTTAATAAGTTTGTGAAGATTTATAATAGTTAAAAATCTATTTTTAATTCTATCAAATATAGTATTCATGATTTTTTCTTCCATTCTGAACCACTTAATAAATCCACAAGTCAAATTAAAAGAAGGTAATCCACAATCTCTGATATCAAATAAAAATTTCTACAAAAAAAGATAATCCACTCTTTTTAAGGAAAAAAATCAATGTTAGAATAAAAAAATAGTTTGTTTAAAGATGAATAATCCGCAACCTTCAAAAGACAACAATAGAAGTAGAATAATCCACTTATTTCTAATAAAAGATAAAAATAATAAGTTAGCACTCTTGTTAAATTGTCAAGGACATAAATCTTAAAGAATTAAAACATAAATATACTCTTATGTCATTCAAAAAGACTAAAAATTCATTCAAAGATGATATAATATTAAATTGGAATAAGATTTACTAAAGATAAGAAGACTAAAGAGTCTAAAAATAAAACTAAAGACTAGAAAGAAATTGATAAGAGTGAAAAAGGCTTCACTCTTACTTTTATATATACTCTTAACTAGGAGCTATGTGACAATGTCTTATAGGACCTCTAAAACATATTGAATTTACAAGACATGTATCTTAACTTACGAGACAAGTTTTTTATATAAGCATGACATAATAAGCTTATCCTATAAGTTATTTATACGTGGTTAACTTATTGATTAAGTATCTAACCTATCAATCAACTATAAATACATATAAAATCAAAGCAGCATCTATGGAGCTTCTAAAAAGCTTTTTTAGAAAATATTATGAAATAAATTTACTTTTACTTAATCATATAGGTAATTATTAGAATAAATATATATATCTATGACAACAAGTCTAATAACAATATTTAATACATATTCTATCTATGTAATGAATAGCATTTCAAATAAAGGATTTATATTTATTTCCTTTAAATGAACTTCATCAATATGGCAAGGACTTAAATTGCGAGCTTTGTTTACAACTTAGTAAAATCTTTTTTTTTAAGGCTTTGTGATTGCTTGAATCACCTTGCCTTCCAATATTTTATTAATTAGCTGATTTGAATACTTGAGCTAGAATATTAATACTAAAAAAAATATGCATATTTAATACTTTATAAGCCAAAATATATATAGTGTCTTTAATATCAATGTTTCTATCTTATATTAAAGTTGAAATAGAAGGCTTTGCTATAAAACTAATATTTGCAAGGCCAAATGATAATGATAATGATAATCAAAAATAAATATTAAGATCTTTAATATTGCTTTGATTGCCATCCAAGGTTTTTTATTGTTACTTAGCCATGCCTAGCAATTACAACTATTATTTATCCTAATATACCAAATATGTAGCTATCTTAAATCAAAGAGCTTATTTTAGTCTTAAAATTCATATAAGATCTAAATACTTTGCCTAATAAAAAAACCATATAATTGAATTTTTCTTCTAATTTGGTAATTTTAGCTTCCAAGGTTCTTTTTTTTATCTAAAGTAGACTACTTGTTTGGATATAAAATGAAGCAATTATTTTCACTATAATTAAGCTTGCTATAATGAATATACTTTAATTATTTTTTTAGCATTATTTCATACTTTAGTTTTTTTTTTTCTTAGGTTTTTTTATGTATTAGATATATTTTTTAAATAATTAGAATTATTTATAGTGTGGCTAAATTTATTAGACCTCCAACAATGCATTTTCTTTTTAAGTTTAATTTTTTCCAAACTATATGTGGTAATTGTAACCTTCATAACTCTAGATATATCTTTTATTTAAACAACCATTTTAGTAATATCATGCTAATAAAGGACCTTATCACATTTTTCAATTTTAGTAAATACTTGTGTCAGTATTATCTTAATATCATAATTGAAGATAATTCTTGGTGTTGTTAAATCCAGAAGTTTCTTATCAATCATAGATTTAAAATAAAAATTTTAAAAAAAAAGATAAAAAAAATTTTTAAAATCTTAATAAGTTGATTCTTAGCAAATATATCTCCTGATTTGACTACAAATCAAGCTAAAAAATTATACATAGTATGTGAAGTGCCTTCTTTATTATATTAAAGGTCTTAAATGCATTTCATTTGATCATGTCTAAAACCTCCATACTTGTTCTTCAAATATTTAATAAACATTTGAAATGGCTGAAATAATGGTCGCTCTTCCCTTAAAAATAAAGTGATTTTTATAACTTTATCTATTTGTAATAAGATATGTGGGATATTATTTGAAGCTATTACTATTATTTTTCTTTTTATGTCTTTGAAAGTTGTTTCAATTTTATTTTTTTTAGTACACCTTTCTTCTTTATTGTAGGAATTAAATTAACAATAGTACATTCTTTAAGAATTAAGATGAATTTTATTCTTGCCTCTTAATAATATTCTATCTCTTATAATTTAAGTCAATTTTCTTCACTCCATCTTTTATAGGTTTGGAGTATATCATGCTCTAAATGTTATAATAATATTTCAAAGGCATATTACTTATTAAAATTAAGAGACCTTTGGTATTTTTTCTTCATCCTTATTTAAAATCTGATGTTTTAATTTGATAAGAAAATATCCTCAGCTTGTCTTGAGAATCAATTTCTTACCATGGTGCAAAGATTATCTTTTATTTTATAAAATGTATCTATAAGTAAGATGAAAAGCTACTTAATAATATCTAATACTAAAACATGTTAAAAAGCCTTGTCAATTTGTACCAATGGCTCAAAGTTTTGGATGTCAAAACTATCTAAGTAATTTAGTAAATAAAATAAATAATATTGACTCTTGATATGTACCATAAAAAAGACTTCTTTATTATATGAAATTATCTAAAAGATTAAGGGCAATTTGCACATGCAACCACTATCAATCTTTGCAATTTATTAGTAATCACCTCCATATCGCTACAAAGCCAATAAGCCAATAAATAAAAGGATTTTTCTAACTATTAATTTAACCTTATTCCACAAATGTGCCTATCAACATAAATTAATGAAATAAAAAATAATGAAATACTAGAAAACCTCCAGCAATAATACTTGTAATTAAAAAAAGGTATCAAAGATAAAAACCAAAAATATACATTAGATTTTTATCTTTAATAATACAAAAGCAAAAATCTCAAGTAAATCAATCAACTCATACCTGCTTACAATTGAAGATTTGAAATCAAAAGTAAACCAAAGCAATTGGCACCTACTTAGAGTTGATGGTTACAAATCATTACAAAAAAAAACAATATTAAGACTAATAGTTTTTAATACCTTTCTATCTTTTATTTATATTTTTTAATATATTTTTTAATTAAACTCTTTTATGTTAGAACCTATATTTTTATCTTTCACCATATAATTGCATTATAATATGACATCTACCTTCTTTAAACTTGAGCATCCTATAGTATGTGCCAAATAATCTAAATCTTATTTGATTCATACCATGTTTTTTTTCTCTTCATCTAAATCTTCTTCATCATTTTTATTATCTAAGTCAAAATCATCTTCTTATCTTCAAAGATTTATGTCTTTAACAAGATCTTCTATATTAATTTTTACCTCTTTGTTTGAATATCTTTACTTGCTTCCTAGCAATTGGTATTTTCAACCTTTTTCTATCCAGCTCTTAGAGTGCATAAGTTGCATTATCATGAACAATTTTTACTATATATGGTCGAAACTAACATTCATAATTTTTTTAAAAAATATTATGTTGATTATTCAAGCTACTATTACAAATCAAAATCCATACATCTTTTTTTTATTGTCTTAGGTTTCAATCAATATTTTTTTATTAAATCAAGTCTTATTTAGTAATCTTTTTTTTTTAACCTTTAAAATATTATTTGTATACCTTTCAATCTTTGCTCAAATTGTCAAATCTTAATAGCTAAAACTTCTTCTCTTGTCAATCTATCTTCTCATGGTAACAAACTCCAAATTGATACTTTCTCTTCAATTGGCATAATAGATTTTTGACAAGTCATAAGTTCAATAGGCATATATCTTGTTACTAAACTATAAATTGTTTGATTAATCCATAATGTAAATGGAAAAAGTTGAGACTATTCTCTCACCCTCCTATTATAAGCTTTAATTACTGCTTTTATAACAAGTAGTAACTATATTTAATTTTTGCATTTTCTTCTAGATTATAAGCAATAGTCAATGATAATTTGATTCCACATCTTTCAAAGAAAGCATAAGCTTTTTATGCATTTAATTCTCTATATTTTAATGTATATATATAAATTAAAATTTCTAAAAATACTTATAAATACATTCAATTATTTATTTATTTATGGATATTTTTTGCAAACTATATTTGAGACCAACTTAATTATAAATGGTACTTTGTAATTATATTTTTACATAAATATAATATAAAATCACATATATTTTTTAAAAAATATTTTAAGTTAATTAGTACATTTAAGGTTAAATATATGTCTATATATATATAAACACATATACACATCAAAAGAGGTTCTTCAAATGTTAAATTTACATATTAATATTGAAAAATGAATAGTTTATACAATGAGAAAAATTACGTTCTTATTTGTTTCCTACTAAGTTTGATCATTATCATGAAGTTCCAAACTTTCACGTGCAATATCCTACTACTAAACTTAAAATTGTAAGCACAAAGTGCAAGTCAAGACATGTCACAAAATATCACTTCACAGCACTGTTAATTCCCTTCACCATATTTCCACATTGAACCATTCATCGTTGTTGCAAAATCATCGTACAAGTGAATAGTTTTCATCAGACTCTACTACTTTTCTAAGATTTAAGCCCCACATGATTTATTCAAGCAACATCAACTACATGTGGTTGTATTATCGTTACAACAATCCTTCAAAGTTAACTCGGGACTACGAACCAATTCTGGGCCGTTGCTCAAAGCAGAAATCTGAGCCGATGTCCCAATCCGAAATCTGGGCCGTTATTTGTATACGGAATCTGGGCCGTTGCGTAAGAACGAAATCGAGGCCGTTGGTTTCAGTTCATGGTCTCTGCAACAGCACTTCGTCAATGCGAGCCTCGGACCGAATCCACAGAAACGATTTCGCTGCACGTCGATTTCGAGGAAGTCGAAAATTCTTCAGCCTGTTTCGATGGTGCGCATTTGAGCAGATTGTGTGGTTACGTGCTAGTTTGCGTCTTCTTGCTCGGAGGCTTTGGTGCAGAGGAGGCACGTGAGGAATTCAGCACTTGAGAATTTGGTCTACATTTTTTGTATTTGTATAATGATTTCATGTCGCGAGTTGACCTCTGATATGGCGCACTTACTCTTCCGATTCTTGATTCTTGTGATCTTCCCTGTTTCACTCCATACTCTGTCTTCAGTCGATCGTGGTTGCATGTCATTGAGCCTTGTGTTTTCGTACTGAGGACTCTTTTCAGCTGTGGTGATGTCCTCTGTTGTTTTTTATTCTCACACGGAGCTTTATTCTTCCTTGTGAATTTTCTTTCGCTTTCCCCAGCAGGTTTGTTACTTGTCATTCCTGCTTTTGAATTCTCTACTTTTAAACGCCACGCCTCTGGTGCGTCGCCCTCACATATCCTTTATCATCAAGTTCCCTGAAATCGGGCCATGTCTCTGTCCATCAGGAGATGCATCTTTCTCTTTTGCCCCGAATCTCCATCCGAGCTCCAATTTTTTCGCATTTCCGTTTTCTGCCCTCATAATGGTCTCTGTACAGAATCTGCTTGTGTACACTCACTCAGTTCATGCTTGGGCCTTCGCCGCTTGCCTGTTCTTCAGTGCAAGGTGCCGTTTATGTCAGCTGAATGGTTTCTCCTCTTTCGCGACTCTTGGAAACATATATACCCTTTTGTGTTCATTGGAATGAGTTGTCCGTGTGGACCATGTATATGAGTATTGGGATGTTCTCCGTTGTATTTGCAGATTCGATTGGAGCTTAATGTGTGGTTCAGGGTTTCAGGAGCCTTTGCGAAAGAGAGACGATCAAGGGACGTGAAAAGGTTGATGAAACGCATGTAAAAGCTTGTAAAACAACATGTGCGGCCACATTCTTGGAAGTTCTTGTGATCTGTCTTCTCATCAGAACTCCAGTTGGTTGATCTTGAGTAGGAGCAAGCCCTGTAATCTATCCAACTGGGATAGATAGGAAGTGATTGTTTCACACAGTTACTAAGCAGAAGGTTAGAACGTATGAACTAAATGAAGTTCTTGACGTAATTGTCTCTCCTACTCTTAGATCACAAGAATGCCAAGCTTTGAAGTTTCTAGTGATGCAGGAAACTGTGATAGTACACCACTTTCTTGTCTTTGATTTGATATTGATGAAGATTTTCCGGTATACAATTGCTGACCTGTTGTTTGGTTTAGAAAATGAGAGAATAAAGAAGGCTAACAAGATGAACAATCTTTTTCCCAGTTTTACTGGAGGTTGGGGTGTATTCAGAGTTAATATTCCTACATTTGCAAATCTTCCTTCGGTTCTGCAAAAGAGTTGCTGTGTTCTGGTTCTTTACAAATGAAGGGATATAATCGGGCCTCTGTAAAGCATTAGAAATTGAGGGACGGTGGCCGTTAGACTTGCTATTAAACAGTTGCAAAGGGACGGACAACATCCAAGTGAGATGTGAACTCTTCTATCCAATAAGACTTCTACAGAAGCTGTCATTTTGGAACAGTAAGAAGGGGGAAGAACAACTGGATCAAAGTAAGGCGGTCGTCAACATCGGCATGACAATTGCGCAAGGATCTCACCCACAATCACTCGAAAGGAACGTGAATTACGATTGGAAAGGATATGCTGCCAAACACATTATCTACCCAAGGGATCAAGGACGCGGAGCTCAAGGACAACGACTCCTCTCCTCGCATTCAGGTAAGTTCCTAGCGCAGAGGTCAACAATCCGTGCATCAATTCATATCAAGATTGAATGGGTCGAAATCCCTTTCAAACCATCACATGAATAGCAGCTTCTCAAGAGTTGAGTAACAACGGGTCTCAAGCTATGAAAAGAGCTACACTCCTTCCGGAAGCTGAGAAGTGTGGACCAAGTATTTCCAATGACCAAATGGACAACAAAGTCCTGCCTGGACGTCTGCAATATTCGCTGAAGATCAGTGGATTCGTGCGTGTTAAGACTTATGTAATCTCACACCACAGCAATAAAAACTGTAAATGTTCTCCTGAGTGGACGTGCTTCTTCCAAAACTTCGGAACTTGTGTTCCTGTGGGACAGGACCGCTTGGGCTTCATAGCTACAGCCATGTCTCTAAAAAGCTCAGTCAAACTTGGAAAATAGAGTCTTCCACAGGAGATAATAGTCAATTATTTGTTATAATCAATCTGGGTCTATTGTCTTATCTCATTATGTTGTAGTGCAAAGTGTTTGTCTGTTCATATCGTCATCAAATTGTCTTTATTGTACATATCCAACCAATCTTGCAAAAATAATGGTGTTGCACAAATTTCAACAATTTATTCTTATTTTGTTTTATTTTTTCCATTGCATTTGTTTTCCTTTCTTTATTTCATGTTGCAATATGTGAGTCCCACTGAACCTGTTAACATACACAATAACAATAACAAAGATGGCTAAGAGATACAATTAGGATTGAAAGAGAACAATGGCAATCATAAAAACTTGACTAAATTTGTAACACTTGAAGTACATAAACATGACTGAGTTTGCAAGTCAGTTGATCATAGATCAAACGTTTACTCAAATATTGAGTAGAACACAAAAAATATATCGTTTTTATCAGAAGATTGTAACTTATTATCCTAACCATTAATAATGGTGTAAACAAAAAATGAAAAAATAAATCATAAAAATTAAAAATCTGGTATATTGAAATATTTATTGTAGAAAAGGATTTTGAAATTTAAATCAACAATTTATGTATGTGGATTGAGCTGCAAATGGTACACCATGTGAAAGTAAGACTTGTACACGAGATAAAATATTTCTTGGCTTTTCCTTTAAGACAATAAATTCATGCAAAGACCTATTTCCAGCATTTTTCTCCGAGGTCTACATTTTCTTGGCATAGCGTAGGCAGTTACCTTCCAGAACTAATAATTAACAAAGTGAATCTATCAGTTACCATATCTCCAAGTGCTCCGTGACTTAGAACATGTAAGACATATAAATGAAGAATACACAGATATCATATCTTTACGACATGATTGTCATTTCATGTACCAATCTATACTTGAGATGCGTTCGTTTCAAGCAGTTTTTCTGCACGACTACCAAAGAGTGCAAGGCTATTTCAGGAATTACTCCTGACCTGTAGGACAGAATACTAGAGGACTATTTACATATCCTGCATATGAATACACACAAAATATTCGTGCAGTGTATAATACAAAAGGCGTTGATGAAAGTATAATTTCTGAATTATTGTGTACGAGAGTTGCAGTTACAACTGATAGTATAAACTTCATGTAGAGAAGCAAGACTGAGACTTGAATGATTCAGAACAGTGGGAAGATACCAAGAACAAAGCGAGAACTACAATATGGGCATAAACGGAAAACAAAGCAAGCTGCAGTAAGTAGTAGATTCTAATTTACCATCTGGGGCAAAATTAGTCTTTGTTAGCTTACATTTAGGAGGAAAAACTAACATGAAATGTCCAAAATTTATATCGGTTATAAGTAGCCGTCTGATATTGACTGATACCCAATCTTCAGCGAAGAAGCTCAGATCAAGTCATAACTACATTTGATGAAAGAGCACGAATAATCCTGCTGGTCACTGAGGATTGCTCGCTTCAAGGATACATCTTCGAGATAGGTGCCACGGATAATCCAAAAATAAGGATCAAAGCTGTCTCCATGATCGAATGTTCGAACAGATGTAAAGCTACTGCTAAAGGTGGGTAAGAATTCAAAATGACGATTCGCAGCTGATGACGAAATACACTAAAGCTTGCCACGAGGACTAAATCTCTACATTTTTGCCCACCTGTTTTGTTATCCAATAACTCAATCGTTGTCTTCACAAAGAGACTGCTGTGACGATCTTAAAAAATCCCTCCCAAAAAAAGCAATGCTCCTAAAATATGGCTTCCACCAACTATGCAATGATGACAACGGTGGGAACTGTTGATCAGTGATGGTCCAGATGACAACTTGCAGCGGCCAACCGGATTAACAAAGCAGATCATGTCTGTTCACTGTAGAGGCCTCGGTTCTGCAACTAACCCAATTCTGTTTAGAATTGGAAACATCAAAAAGCTTGCAGAGATGATCGGGTCCAGTCCGAAAAAGAAAAAAAAGAATCCTGGTCGTTCCGCTGTATAACCTCAAGTTCATCCACCTGGCAAAGAGATATTGATGTCAGTCCTTCGACCATCTCCAAGAGCGGGCGGTTGCCAGCTTGCCATCGGTTGAAACAAGCCCATGGTTTGAGGCCTCTGCGCAGATACTTGGCCGGTTGGGGAAGGAGGCGCTGGTGATGTCTGCTGAGGACTGGGTGCTGCATCCACACACAACTCAATCAGACTTCGAGCAAAGGTAATAGGCGTACAACAACGTGTACACTAATCCGACCAGGCTCACCGTCCGACAGAAATCGAAGATCATATTTAAGTCCTTCAGCCTGTAGTTTGCAGAAGAATTGAGGAAAGCATCAGAGTACACAGTAATTAACAGAGATCGGTATATAAGACACAAGAAGGAAGCCAACCTTTGGAATTTGAAAAGAGACCAGGACTTGGTTTCATTTCAGGTCTAAGAGGTGGAGGACGTGGGCCTCCAAGTCCTAAACCAGGAACAAACCCTCCTCCAGATGAGCCTCCTGGAGTTGAACTAAGTGGGGAATCGGACTTCGGTTGAGATTTGTAAGCGTCGGAAAGAAAGCTCCCGACAACCACCTGTGGCACACCAGAGGAAGATGCGGTCGAAACTTAGTAAAATTATTTTATCACATGATTTTGGTAGGAATTAACATAACCAAGCGATCATGAATTATGATTACAAAGAAGGAAAGGTACGGGAAAATATATGTAACCTAGGATGGTTCCAAAAATAATTACACGATCTCTGCACCCGATCAAACTGCAAAAATTTTCTTGATAGAAGATAGCAAAAAGGAGCTGTACCGAGGTCAATTTCTTCTCGTTCTAATCTCAATATTTTAAACAGAAACATATCCGATACCTGAATGGGAGACGCCGCAGTTAGCATTCCAGCAACACCTCCACCAATGACTCGCCCATCACTGCCAGCCAAAGAAACACTAAGGCCCCCAGTTCGTTGTCGTGCGCCACCTCCAAGGTCCGTAGGCAGATAAGAACCAGACAAAGAAAGTATCTCATAGCGACCCTGCATGTCCAAATGGTTCACTTACAACCTCATTACAAAATCTATGTTGCGTGTCTAACAGAGGCAAAGTAAAAACCACCACACTAGGACTAGCATTGACTGCTAGGGCACTTATCAAGCCCTACAGCATGCCAAATGCGAATACACACACGATGTCTGTGTGTTTGTAAGTACAAGTGCGGATTATCTGCGTATTTCCATGGTAAGACACAAAAAATCAACTAGAATCAGCAGAAGTCCATGGCAAAGTATCTTCACTTGGGATAACGTAGCGATAAGTTGGATGCATACCTCATACGTCACAGTGCCTCCCGACGATAACTGCTGACGTAATGTCACATTGGAAATGGCACCGTTGGCTGACAGCACACACATTGCACGTGGTCCGTGCTGTGCAAACTGCATGATTTTAGTAGCGACATCCTGCGACACAAGAAATATAATTCTGAATACCTTGCGAATTCATGTACGATAATGTCAATAGATTAGAACGCTTTGACCACCACAACTAAGTCAACCATATCCATTATGCCGCGATACATGGAAACAGAAAGAATCGAACAACGAATAGTACGGTCTAGAGGCTGTACCTCCCCAGTGTTCACAGTCAATATGTGAGGCGTAAAACCTTGCCCAGTGCCCGCTAACACAACCCCTGACACAGCAACAAATAATACTGGCATGGTTAGCTACAGGAGAATGCCAGAAAAATATAATAACCACATGAAGGGAACCACTACAGAAGAATAAACCAATACATGAATAAGTGCGATAGATTACAAGAAAATTACCAAGAGCAGCTAGCTGTTGCCTCTTCCCAGAGCCTGTAGGTCGGCCTCTCCCTCGCTTATCAGGAGACGGCGTATATGGCGAAGAGGGAGCCGGCATTATCGCTGGAAAAACAGGATACCCAGCTCCTGGTGTTCCAGGAGAAAATTCAGAACCAGTTGAAAATTTACGAGGCCTTCCCCTCTTTCTCTTGAGAGGCTGCTCGCCCCCGCTTGCACTCCTGGGTCCAGTGATTGAGGTGCCAACAATGCCTAAGCTCATGCCTAAGCTTGCTGGAGGAGCTACAGCCATGATTGGATGGGGATGAAGACCTGATGGACCGGCCTCAGGCACGGGCGTGCTCACAGCTGGTGCGCCCCCTTGCGCACTTTGCGATGGAGTAATCCCTGGTGAAGGTGATGGGGACGAGGATGGAGGTGGCGAATGTCGCACAGGTGCCGCAGTGTGCAACCCATGCCCGACCCCACTCGCCATCCCTGCTCTTTGGGGGCTACCCATGCCTCCGCCCCCCGAGCGATTCGCAGCGTCAGCTGATTCCTGCATTCCTACCATGAAAAGGAGCTCAAAGAGTTGCAACGCGCCGAGTCCCAACGCACTTCCAGTGTCATTTGAAGCCGTTCATGAGAAGTTCAGACGCATTGTAGGTAGACATCGGCATAACACAGCCGAATGTTTGCAACTTGATCATATTAGATTCACCATCATGCCTAATAAAAACCCCGATTCATTTGATCACGGTGTGGTGGGGCCGTCGCGAGGATCTGCACAGGAATAAGCTGCCGCCTCTTATCTCTTGTTTTGACGGTTCTCAATAGCAGGTAACGGACCGTTATGATAGCTTATTACAAGGGCTTCCAAGTACAAAATATTCAACCGCACTAGGTCGAGTCGCATTCAAAAGCAAGAGAGATCCATCAATGCTGCGCTAGAAACCGAACAATAACACAGAAATACGAGGGGATAAGCGCAATCAAAACGATACGCGCCTTGGTCCTTGAAGACGACCCGAGAGTTGTAAAGCTCAGTGTCGCCAGCGAAGCTAGAACTTAGTTTGTTCTAGTAAAATCGCATCCTGATTACTCTAGTAACTCAATCTCTTCATCCCTCCACTGAAACTCGCTAGTAATTATATTTTGGCGTCAACTTACTTGATTCTCTAAACTTGAACTTCGGCAACAGCGAAGGCGAATAATAATCGTGACGTCACGGGTCAGCTGCAGGATCCTTACTGTGAGAAGTGCCACTACGAGGATATTTTTCCTTGTGACCTGACATAAAACTGGTTAGTCTCAATCCGCCAGCTGCGCATCAATGTCCTACTGCGAGCTTGAATTGTTGTTTCTCCCAGCCAAAGCTCCGTCATCATCGTCTCCAGCACTGATCACGAGAGGACGCACACCCACTAACATTAATTACGGAAACTAACATAGAAAACTGTCAAACGCAAGTCTCAAAAAGTTTCAAATCTCAGTGGCACCCAGTCGCTGCACTAGCTTTCCTAAAGTCCTCTACGACACCATCACTTCAGTCTCTCCAGGACACTAATCTCTTCATTGGCACAAAACAAGAGCTTCACTGTCGCTTTGATGCTTGGCTCGAAGGTCATCCAAACGACGAGGCGTTGGAATAGATCAGAGCTCGTATGCTTTTACATCGAAAACATAGCCATGCTGGGATGGCCGCGGGTGTCACTGTAGACTCCAGGATCAGATATCATTTCGGTGGATCACACAGTGTTAACTCCGGGGGGATGTAGCGACGAAGCGCAGCATCTTAGTGCTTATAGACCGCGGACAGGGTTCCTAGATTTACTTCGAGAGTGAAAGTATGCTAGAAACAGCACTCCCCCGTCACCAAGCTTTCACTTCGGGGATGCACAAAGCTTGGCGAGAGATCTCCTGCTCATACAGGAAGCTCAGGCAGTAACTATTGCGCTGGTACAGTACAACCATCGTGGCTTGCTCTCTCAGGGGACACTGAACACCGAATCCGCAAAACACACTACTTGAGGACTTAGATTCAAAGACATCGACAGCAGGTGATCGCGTCTACGGAATATAATTTTCTCCCTGAGGGAGACGCAGCGCTGGCTTAGAAGCCGCACACTCGTGGTGATGACACTCAATCAGCACCTTATTCCTGCTGTAGCCCTAGTCCCCATTAAATCTCTTTCACCATCTTACAGAGCACCAACCATACGGCGTGATTTCGCATAAATTTCAGGTTATCTTCGAAAAATCACTTCGCGGTATCCTACTAAAACCTAGACTCGAACGATTTTCTCCAGGGTCGCTTCAGCAAAATGAAGATTCTCCACCTTATCTTTAAGAGAAAAAACACTAAAAAAATCACCGACTTGCTGCGGCGGCGATCACCTCCAGATTCTGCGCCTCCACCAGCTCTCGAATCCAAAGCCACGCAGACAATCTCTCACCCTTGCCGCACTCGGTAGATACACGGCAGCAGAAATAAAAATGCAGACGCACTCCGGCACCACTCCCTCACCCTGGCTCTCTCAAGTCGCAACACGTAACACGAACGCGAACCGGATGGTCTCAAGCCAGCAACTTTCTCCTCGCACCTCCTCCTCCAACTCTGTCCACGGGGACAAGGCCAGTCCGACCTGACAATTAAACACCCAGACGATGCAGGCGACAGCGCACGACTACCTCAGAAGAAGGCGAGGCTACACCTGCGCTGCGGCACAGCTCCCATGATTCCGTTGAAGGTGGGAGAGTGGGTCTTGACGGCTCAGCCTGAAGACAACGCATTCAAATATCACCACCCCACACACCAGCAGCAACAGCAATGGCAGCAGCAGGAGGAGGAGTCGTCTTCCTGCATTTGTGCAAATTCTAGCGTCGCGGATGTCTCCTTTCTAAATAACACTTCGGCCGCGCCTTGCCCCGCCTCACTGCGCTGCGCTCTAAAGCCTCGCTTCTCCGGCTCTCCGCGGCCAAACAGAGGCACGCCCGTCAGGGCCTATTAAATGGAGGAGGAAGCAAATAGGAACACACACTCACACAGGACAAATAAAAAGAAAAAGAAAACGATGGAAAAGTAAACTAAAACGTAAAAGCATCCTCCTCGTCGCCCCGCCCGTGCCCCCCTTCGCCCTAACCTGGTAGGTTAGTAGTGTCGGCCCTTAGATGGAAGGCTGAAACGTGGTGCATTCTAACTCGTCGTTGGAGCTGCCGCTTCGTATCTACTTTCATCTACTCACTGAGTCCGTTCTTCGTCTTTTTCTTCCTTTTTTTAATTTCTTTAAGGGTAGTAAGAAGTTTCTATTTATAGATAGCTTGTTGCTCTAAACCATAATATTCAACTTGCATGTGATTATGTGACGAAGGTTTTTTAAGGTCATCATGTTAACTATTATTTATTCAGATTGAAATTTAGTGATCTGGAAGTTGGTATGCAAGTACATGTCTGAAAGTATACATGTGTGTACATATTAACAAACAAAAAAATGTATAACATGTAATACATTATCAGTTGTTACTGTGTGTGTATATATATAAATATATAATTTTAAAACTATGATAACAACTGATTAAAGAATAATTTTATATTTTGTGCAATTATGATACAAATGCAAATATTTTAAGACTCAATTCGATAAACTGAATTAAAAGAAACTTTAAGAAAACTAAACATTGTAAAAAGAATTTAAAAAATTATAAAAAAATTAAACACACTTATTAAATTTATGGTGCAGTATTCAGATGAGCTTATGTATGTATCTATGTATTTGTATTTCTATATGTACATGTAATACACACCAATTAATTGTGTGAAAATTATTAATAAACATGTTTCATTTAATGATAAGTATATTAAACTATTATTATTAAATGATAAGTATATTAAACTATTGAATAAATAAACTCATATATAATATAATTTTTGAAATTAGTACATATAAAATAAGAACATAAAAATTTATCTTATTTTTTGTAAATAAATGTTAAATGTCCTTGCAAATCATGAAGCATTTTGTACAAAACAATATTTTATTGAACTTTCAAACATTATAAATATTTTACTATACTCATTACATAAATTGATTAATAATCTAAAATGATGATTTTCCATAGCATATATCTAATACAAATGTAAGACAGTGATTTGTAACTTTTTATCTAGTAGTGAACACCAAGTGTTCTATAATATTTTACAAATACTTTCAAGTGATTAATTCATTTGATTGATTTTAATTAGTTTTTTTGAAATTTGTTGAAGTTTATTTTTTTTCTTCTTCTCATGGTATTTGTTTCCAGTGATATAATATATTTACATATGTGTAAAGTTGGTTGTTTATTGCATTTAATTATCAAAATATTTAAATTTTAAAATTATTAAATGTAACATTCAATCTTACTATTTCATCTTCTCTTTCTTTCTTTTTAACACATTGATGGAGTTTATCCAATGCATTGACAGGGTAGGATGGTACAACCAACAACTCAACACCCAAGACATTGACAAGTGGCAACAAAAGTTTTGAATGAGAATCAATTGTTGATTCAATCTAATATACTTTTATATATTATCATGCCATATTGGAATACTCTACAAATCCATTTGATTACCTTCTCTATTTTGGTCCTGAATATTTGTTTTGCTATGTAAGATTTGTTCCATTTTATGAGTGAGGTAGCCTTGTGCATTACTTCTTATTTTCAATTTCCTCCTTGATGTTGCCTAGAAAATTTGCCCATATTCAATTAAGTTGTATTAGATGAAGGTTTTAAAGTAGAAGTCACTTCATACTTCTCTTTGAAATACATATTTTCTTTTTAAAATCCAAATGGTCTGTAAGTAGAGACATTATTTTACACATGCATTTAAAACCTAGATGGTATCATATTTGCAATGATGCCTCCTTCCAAGTGAAGGCTTTACCAAGTCGAAAAATATCATAAATGTCTACTTTTGAAGATGCTCTAGCTCCAAAACATATTTTAATATTAAGAAACGAATTAAGCATTTAAATGGATAAAAACACTATTATTATAACAAATTAAAGTGTATTGGATTTCTTTGATTATAAGAATTAAAATGGAAAAAATTAAAAATTCAATTTTAAAATCATGTATGAAATACACTTACAATATTAATTAGTTTCTGCTACATATACAAAAAATATATTTAAAAATAATTTTATTATTCAATAATTTTTCCATCAGTTAACTTTTAAATAAATAATGATGAAATTTTACATCCAAAATTAAAATACATTAGCAATATAAAACCAAGATAGATATGTATAGTAGAATGCATAGATTTTAAATACGTGTTTCCAAATCACAAGTTTTTATATTTTTAATTTAATGGTTTTATAAAATGTGATATATGTGATATAGGTTATCACATTAAAAAGTTTGGAAAAACTTCTATAGTAATAAAAATATTAGTATTCTTTTAAAACCCTTGTGTAAGAAGAGAATATATTATTTACAAGTATTAAATAGGTTTAGTTAGCAAAATATAATTAGTTACAAATTTGTAAAATCTACATTGAACTGATCATTTAGTATTGCAAATCTTTGCCATTATTTTATATTCACAAAGCAACTGTTTAAAATCATATCAATTTACATAGTTTTGATGAACAGTTATTAAACACATGATAGGTGTTTTATGCTCCATCAATGAAATAAATAATAATAATAATATTAATTGCAGTACAGCAAAATTACTGGTTGAATTTCTTTAAGAACTCATTTTAATTTTAATTTTAATTTTTGTAATATAATACAAATTTATCACAACTTTTAGATGGATTATATAAATCTTAAAAATATTAAAAAATTTACTCTATTAAAAAAATTGTTGTATCTAAACACTTCTTATTTATTGGTCTACATATGTTTTTTTAGTTATTTTATGTAATATTTGATAAATTTAACTATATTAGTATTTTGAAAAATCTTTAATTCCTTTGCCTGCTAATTTAAATAGTAACATGATATCTATAAATTAATAAAAGAAATGAGACAGATGCATGGATGAAAGTTTATACAACAAATATATTGGATATTGCTAATGTCTACAGTATTTGCTACCATCACCAAAACTTGCAACCCACTCAATATATATATATATATATATATATATTTATTCCCATAAAAAAACATTATTTTCAATATGTTTTTTTAAACAATTATATATAATATATATTTTATTTTATTTAAAAATGATTGAAAGGTCAATAACAATAAGTTTTAGTGGAATTAGTAATACACTCTCTCTCTCTCTCTCTCTCTCTCTCTCTCTCGATATATATATATATATATATGAATTATAATAAAAAGCATAAAATAAAATTTATAATAAATAATAGACATAAAGACTTAAGTTTTTTTAAAAATGTAAAACTAATTCAAACAAAGGAATGTAAAAAAAGAAGATTAAGATTTAAAATTTTATAGTTTGAAAAAAATTATCATTTATATATACTTAGAGAAGTCAATGTAATTAGGATAAGAAAATATTTTTTAATATAATTTTATATTTTTTGTAAAATATAAACTTGCGTCTTAATTCTTAAAGGTAGTTTTCTGTTTGGACATAAGCAAACAATTCACTTGCTATTTATACTAGTAAATTCGAACATGTTTCTATTATTTTAAGATAGTAAAAGTAGACTAAAACTAAATACTTCAAATTCAACATGTTATACAGGATTGTGAACAAAAATATGCATTTTCTTAGTTTTGTTGAGATATATATTATCATTCTGGAATTATGTTAATTCTTGTTATGAGGAAAAGTTTTCAAAAACTGAGAATAAACTTTATGAATTAAGTAGAAGTAATATGAATGTATATTACAAGTCTTTTTAGTTATTTTTTAAAAATTATTCAAATTAGTATTTCATATTTGAATTAATATTTGTGGTTATTACACTAAATGAGAAGAAGAAAAAACTTTATGATTATTATTGTTATTATGTCTATGAGCTTTATTTAAATAGTTTTTATTATCTGGGTTTTACAATTATTTCTTCGTTATAAATTCTTAAACAGTAACAAGTATCCACAACATATTTATAATGTATTGAGTATTTTTATTAAACATTACAAAATTTTATTTTTCTGTAGTATATATTCTAAATACATGTTGTGATAAAACTTCAGATTTTTCAATACGTAGTACTTTATTCATTATTACATTCTGTTAGTACTTGCGATGTTTTATTTAACAAAATATTTATACATATTTTCAACTATATCAATACTTTACATCTTTAATAAAGAAATATTTGAATTTTACATTTAAGGAATTACTTCAAAAAACCAAATTCACTTATTTACTGTAATTTTGTGTGGTTGTGTTTAAGATATTTATAATAACTGATAAAAATGCATGTTCTAAATTTTTAAAACAATTATATTCGATTTTTAATGTGATATTCAATTGTATTCTTTAGTAAATAAGAGATGGTGGTAATTTTTTCTCGAAAAAAAGTAAGTAATAATTAAGCTTGTGAGACACTAAAATATGTTTACAATAAATTTATTAATTTATTATTATATTCCACCATTTATCAAATTTCACTTTAAAGATTACTTTTTTCTCATTCCCTTCTAATATCGAAGGCAGAAAGGGCCTCGAACTCCACATCACGGGCCCTGCAGCTCCCACCCGTTCCTCGCCGCTGGGACTGCACTGGGACAGTCACGCCCGCTCCGTCCTCACCCGTCCTGGCCTCGCCGTCCGATAACCCGGCCTCGTAAATCGCGCCTCGTTCTCACCCACCCAATCCAAACCCGTTCCCGAAGCTTTTGCCCCCCCCCCCCGCACCGACCCTCGCGCTCGAAAACGGATGAATGCGGATGAATGTTACGCAAAACCGCGACCCGTATATGAGTGGACGTTGATTGATTCGAGTGAATCCATGAGGTTTGTTTGGAGGAGGAAAGCCACAAGGAGATCATGCTTTCTTTAATCTTCACATACTAATTAA